GCTCTTTCACTTGCAATTTCTCATTTGTATGCAATGTATGTATGTATATACATATATAAAGTAACTGCAGACATTTACATTTGACAAATATGTATGTGTATGTGTATTTGTTTGTGTTTATTAAATTTTATTAATATTTACAATAACTAACTGTTTGTTGTTTAGCATGTTTTTCTATTTCTATACTTATGTGTAGGTATGTAAGTAAGTATTTGTCTGTGTGTGTGTGACATATAAATAACAAATTTTTTTGAATTTCAATTAATTTATTTTGCAATTAGTTATTTTTTAACTGCATAATTGCTTCCTTACAGATTCTTTTTTTGCAATTCTTTTTCCGTTTTACTATACCGTTAGGCTTAAGTGTAACCTATGTTTATATGCTTATGTAATTTATTTTGCATATTTGCACTCACTTAAGTTGCAAGTAATAGAATATATTACACTTAATGCATTTATTGTTTTTTTAATATAAATTTTTGTTGATTAGAAGTTGTTGTTGTTGTTTTATTGGCAGATAACTTTACAATATGAAACTTCCACGTATATGTTTGTGTATCTTTTTGTTCATATTAACTTTTCAATTATATACATACATACATAAATCATTGTTAACACATAAAATGGCTCTTGCAGCCAAAAGTGATTTCCAGAATTTAACAAATTTTCAGACAAAAAAGAAGAAAAAAAATGACTTTAATAACTTGAAAACCATCAAACTACACTAATATTATAAACAAATTTAACTAATTAATTTTTATTAAATAAGAAAAAAACTTTTTAATAAACAAACTTATTGACGTGTAAAATTTAAATGCACTTTAAATATACTTAAATAACATTTATTTTAATAAAAGTTTTCAAAAATAATAAAAGTTATAGAGAAACTTTCCAATCAAAAACACACAACTTTGTTAATTAATTTGTATTAAATTTGCAGCAGAACCAACAGTAAATAGTTTCAAAAACAAACACACAAGCTTCCATAAAAAAAAAAAAAATTTAAAATAAAATAAAAACATTTCCGCTTTATTCATTATTATTTTTTATTAATGTACTTCGGCACTTCTACAATTTGCCAAAAAAGTTTAAACAAAATGTTGTTGCTTAAATTATTTTTACTTTTTTCGGTACTAAGTAACTGGAAGTTTAAAGTAATTGCATTTACTTTGCTTAAATAAAAAAAAATTTACAATTATTTTTAATAATTCTCAATTAAAGCATTTAATATACATATATAGTACTGGCCTTAAGCTTTCGTTGTTTTTTGTACCGAAATGGAACAGCTGCGTCGCATTTGAGTGGTAAGTGCGTAGAATTTTAAATATTTTTTTCTTATTTTTTAATATAAATGAATTTCAATAAAAAAAAATTCAAACAGTGTTAGGGGAGAACCCAAATTAGGAAAAAATAATTATAAAAAAAAATATTGAAAGATATTTAAATATAAAACAAAAACAAAAATGTATATATATATGAAAATATATGAATTAAAATTATTTTAAAATCTTTAAATAAATTAAAAATTAAAAAAAAAAATTAATAATAATATTAAAAATAGAACATTAAAAACAAAAAATTTAAAATATAAAAAAAGCTAATGATATTTTATTAAAATTTCTCTACGGAACTCCTGCTCTCATGTACGCTCATGAGAAGACGTGAGCCTTTAGTTGTGAAGGAGTGAAGGAAAACATTTTTTCCGTTGCGTCTTCAAAGGCAGAGAGAGCGCTTCGGAATAGACTTTAATATAATGGTTAACAAGAAATCAGCTTTGCGTAGTCGTAGATGTTTTCTAACACCCAAGCTTTTGAATGGTATAAAAAGGGTTTGGGAAAATTATATAATACATTTCCAAAGGACTAAAAATCTGCTTTTGAAAAATTTAAGAGGACATATTTTTTTAAAGAACTAACGAGTTTTTTAATATTCTCTGCGAAACATTAACAAATTAAAATTTTTTTTATAAATTACGCTATTCATATGCCGCTTTGGATTTGTTTCTAATTTTTAACGTAAGATAGTAAAATTTGTTAATGCGGTCTTGTCTCGGCAGGGAATGTCGACCCCACTGAGTGTATTTCTGACATGAAATAAAGCTCTACATAGAAAAACCATCTTCCGTTCGGAACAACATCAAGACTCACAACCACAAATTGGAGAAGGAGCTCGGTGAAAAATCTCTTCAACGGTTACAAAGTACCAATAATATATACATATATAAGATAGTAATAAGAAAATATGATATGATAAAATAAAAAATAAACTAAATAAAATAAAAGTTGCATTCTACACAGTTTACTTATGCACAGCTGATTAATGACACGTTGCTTGCAGAAATTTATCTTAGACACTTTTTTTAGGCAGCACATTCTAAGCATAAATCGGTCAGTAATAAAATACATATTTTTTTATTTAAATTTTGATCAGTTTTGTAAAACTAGAGAAGTGATTTTGAGACTGTTTTAGTCAAAAGCTTTTTTTCGAAAAAAAAAAATTAAAGCTTTGAAACCAATGAAGATTGAAAAACTAATTATAATTAATTTTCAAAATTTAAAGAAATCCAATAAATACGGCAGATTTACCATCACATGAGTCCATGTGGGATATTTTGCATATACAAGTGTATAAACTCAAATCGTTTTAGCAAAAGCACCAAATGCTTGTTTTCGAAAAAAAAAAAAAATATTAGAAAAAAGGTTTGGTTATATGCCATGCCAAATTTTCGAAATTTCCAAAGCTTAAAATGTACTGCACACAAGTATTTGTCTGTTGTTCATTTCTTTTTATGGAAGTGTTAAAATTAATAATTTATTTCACTTACTCCTTCCCAGACACACGTGGCACTTTACTAAAAAAAAATTACGCAGAACTTAAATGAATTATCGAAATAATTTTAGAACATCTGATTAAACTTTAATTCGACTTAGAAGTGCAGAGCAAATAATAAAACCTAAAAAGTTTGGAAAATTCCCAAATGTGCAATACATTGTATCAACATGATTAATAGCGGTGAAAAATACATTAAATATACATGCGCATGTATGGAAGTGCTCTGAATACCGAACTGTGAAAGCTCTGCTGCAAGTTCTTGAAGCTGTTTAAAAGCTTTCTTGTGCTGCTTCAGTTGTGCCGGCTGATAAAAAACACTTTTATGCGGCATGATCTATGAAAGTTCGATGAAAGCTTTCCGCTGTAGAGCTTTCACAACAAAGTAAATGAGATTTTTTGGAAAATTTTACTGGAAATACGTAACTGAAGAAAAATTAAAATTATCATAATGGAAGAAGTCATTAATCACATTCTTTTTTCTTCTTTACAACATTAACTAATTTCGAAATTTCATGGTGCTGTATTGAACAAATGCAAAAACAACAATTTGGGGTTCGTAGAAAGAATAAAATGAATAAAAAAAAATGTTTTGCTATAACTTTGCTTTTCAAAAACCTTTTCAACTGCGCAGCATTATTTCAATTCTAAAGCAGTTCTTCTGTACTGGATGTCATTATGCAGGAGTTTTTTAAAATTATTTTTACTAGCAATTTAAATTTTTTTTGTTAATTCCTCGTTGCGTTGTATTTATGTATTTTTATTTTTTAGGAAAATCTATTATGCATTTTTATTTGATTTTTAAGTGAGTTAATGCATATTTTCATTAAATTTTTATTAACTTTTTTAAATGCTCATAGTTTTGTTACTGTAAAATGCTGGCTGAGCTCTCATCTGCTGTTGCACTTCATTTTTTTTTTGTTACGCCTAAGTACGTACATACATATGTACGTATGTATGTTATAATACACTATTTTCTAATGCTTCTTAATATTTTTTTAAATTTTATTTTCATATTTTACTTTCGTTTACAGTCGAAAACATGATAAGTAGTAATGCCACAGCAACCTGTGCCACTCGAAATCACTCACTCACTCACTCTATTCCACTCTATCTCTCTCTCTCTCTCTCTCTGTTTCTCTCTCACACACACACATGTGTACAGTTTCGACCGTTCTGTTGAACGTAAAAGCAAAAAATATTTATTAATACATCATTTTATTACTTACTACCATCAGATCCACTACTATTTTTCTTACATTTCCTTTTAGTAGTAGATTTTTAGTAATTTCTTCGTTTTATAACAAAAGTATTTTTTTACGCATTTTTGCATATTTTATAAAAATAAGTTAATTAAGAGACATAATTAAAAAAATGGCAACTTTCAAATACGTTGAATATGTTTTTGTTTTTGTTGTAGTTTATTAACGGTTTTTCGTTGATTTTTCGTTGGGTGTAGACGAGTAGTGAGTAAAGTACAGTTAGTGTAGTGCAATAAGATGAGTGAATTAGTTGCAAGGGATGTGAGTGATTGATGAACAAATGAGTGTAAGTGAAAGCGATTGAAATGAGTGGGAGAACGAAAGTGAATGATTGTGTGCGAAGAATAATGTGCCTTGTTATAAAATAAGAAGTTTAAATATTGAAAAAGCGTTAAAATATCGCAAGTGAAATTTCTAATATGAAAAGCTCAACATTTTTATGAACATATTTCCATCGAATGTGCTGAAGAAACAGCTGCTGACATTTGCGAATAATAAGAAGCAGATGCTGATGATGATTGTGCATATATATGTATGTATGAGTGCGTGTGCGTACGTACTGTTAAGTAACGTTCATTTTGATTTTACTCTTCATTTTTTCCTAAAAAAAAAAGATTATCTCCGCTTAATCATAAAATTTTACTTAAAATATTTTCGAAAAATTAACATAAAAATTTATAAAAAATAATTAAATTTTTCTGGCGTTTCTTTCTTGTATATGCTTATATATAGTTTTCGTTTTGTTTTAAATGCGCGGAAATTATGCAAAAAAAAAAACATAATTTCCCTACACACTCACTCCGTAAACAATATTTTAAGCTCTTCATACATTTTTCGTATTTCATGTATTTTCCACATTTATGTCTATCGTTTGTATAATAATTATGTTAGCATTTCACTCATTACTTCTTTCGCTTATGTGTGTATCTGTATCTGTATCTGTGTTATTTATATTTGTATATATTAGACGATAATTTCGCGTATGACACGACGATTCCTCGAATTGGGTGTTGACGAGTATTCACCCTCGAAACTGTCATCATAGCTCAATGACATATGCTGCTGTGGCGGTATCACTTCATCCTGTTCCATATGCTCCATATTATAGGGGTTGGGTAGGCCGCTTACGTCGTGATATGGTGAATCTGTGGAAAGCAAGAGAACGATGATGAGTTTATTAGTTAAGATGGTATGGGGTTTTAAAAATTTATTCAAAGTTTATTATGGTAGTGGAAAAAATAAAATAAAATGTAAGCTATTCCATGAAGTTAAAAATAAAAATAAAATAATATCGATAAAAACAGTAAAATCAAATATGACAAATTAAAACTAAATTTTTAAACAAAATGAAATAAAAATTAAAAGGTAAAAATTAAGTGAACTAAAAATTAATATTTGAAAAATTATAATTAAAGAAGAAGCGATAAAAACGTAAAAGAAAAATTAAAATTAAATATACTTTTATTTCCTTCTGTTTTACCTTTATGTGTTAAAATCTTAAGAAAAGGAATGATAGAGAGAAATATTTAATAAAAAAATTTCCTTTCGGCTTTTGTGGCAACTAGCTTAATTACCCTCAGCTAGAAAGCAAGTAAAATATTGCGAAAACAACTCGTTTATGTGATTGAATCGACTAAAAAATTAGAAATTATACAAAAGTCATTGAAATTGCATATGCGGTATTTTGGCGATACTTTTACAAGACTGCTGTTGCTTAGAAAAGCATATAGTGAAGACTACCACTCCACTTGAACTATTTCTCTTACTAAATGGCAATATAGAATAAAAAACCTATTTTGACTAAATTTTGAGCACCTATATATTGTATCTAGCGGATTGAAATGAATAGTTTTTCAAAATGAAATACTTGTCGAAGACTGTTAAGAAATTAGTATATATAAAAATTAAACAAAAAATTAATATTATTTAAATAAATCATAAAGAAAGTTTAAGTTTTAAGCTATTTCATCAGTATTTTTTTTTTAATTAAAATATTTTACAAACTTCGTATTGTAAACATGTGTAAATATATACTCATATGCATACAAATATATTCAGCTACTTTTAACTATATTAGGATGTGTACTTATAGTGAGTATATTATATATATATATGTGCAAGTGTGTTTTTGTAATGAGTTTTCCCATATTTTATCTTACTTTTTACTATTTTTTATTTTGTTTTATTATTTATTTTATTTTAAATACATTTTTTATTTCATATAAGCTTGGCTTATTTTACGCATTTAACTTTTTTTTTATAATCTTTCATTTCCGTTTATATAATTTGTTTTCTTTTAATTTATATTTTTATTATTTTTTTAACTTTTATTTTAGATTATTTACAAATTTTATTTTGTACAATTTAATTTAGTGTTATTTCTTTTCATGTTATTTTATATTAAGGGGCACACCTAGTGTAATGGTCAAAAAAAAGGTGATTTTTAGGAATTTTTATTTAAAAAAATACTTTATCAATTATTTCAAAATTTTAAGAATAAATTTATACATGCTTCAAGAATACATCGAGAAATTTTTGAAAAAAAAAATTAAATTTTTTTTAAGTTATAGTCGATCTCCACTTGCAGTGTTTCCGGCCTTCTTCGTGGATGACATCGAAAAAAAAAAATTCTCTAGTAGATAATATTGTCTGTACAATGACCTATGATAAAAAATATCAAAAATAAACAATATGGCGGCGTTTTAAAAAAAATAGTCGGATTTTACCCAAAATTTTTGTCGTTTTTGCCCTGCCAAAGTTCGATTTTTCGATCAGATCAAATATCGATAGGTCATGTAAAAAAAATTCGATAGTGATCGAATCATTTGTTTTTGAGTAATCACTGCAGCAAATTCGAAAAACAAACGCGTTTAAAGATAAAATGATCGTTTTCACTCGTAGCTAATGAGACTCTCTAGCTGCCGAGCGGCTGCTCTTTAAATGGCTATAACTCAAAAACTATTTGAGATATCGATTTGAAATTTTAATATGTTATTTTTAAAGGTGTAATCTACCGATTTTTTTTTAAATTTCACACTAGGTGTGCCCCTTAATATAATTTATATCATTTCTTCATTTTCATTTTTTTATTTAAATTTAATTATTTTTATTTTTTTATTTAATTTAATTATATTTAATTTTATTTTTTATTTAATTTAATTATATTTTATATTATTTTTTATTTAATTAAATTATATTTTACTTCTTATCTTATTTAAGTAATTTTTGCTTCTTTTTAACCTTTTTATTTTATTAAATTTTTTTATTTAAATTTATTCAACTCTGTTTAATTTAATTTAATTTAATTCATTTCATGTTATTTGAAATATAATCATTTTATTTATTTTATTTCATGTTATTCTATTTTTTAGTTTTACTTTACTTTATACCTTTTAATTTTTTTAATTTTATTTTAAGGTAATTATTATTTTTTTAACTTAACTTTATTTATTTATTGTTTATTTAATTTTAATTTTTATCTTTTTATTGTATTTTACATAATTTCATTTTTAATTTATGTTTTATTTGAAATTAATTTTCTAATTTTCTTGAATTTAATTTTAATTTCTTTTTTTGTCTTAATTTTAATCAATGTTTTTATTTCATTACTTTGTTTTATATTATTATTATTTTTTATTAAAATTTTTTTTTTCAAAGAATTCAACTCAATTTAATTTAATTTGATTTCATATTGTTTCATTACATGTTAATTGGTATTAAATTTTTTAAATTTTTTTATTTCGTGTTATTCTATTTTGTGTAGTTTTACTTTATTGCAGTTTCATTTGTTATTTTTACATTCATTTTTTTCAATTAGTTTTATTTGTTTTTTAATTTTTTTTAATTGTATTGTATTTTATTTTACTATTCATATTTTTCTAATTTCAAGATTTTTTATTTTAATTTATTTTTTGATAATTTTATTTAATTTCGCTTAATTTTATTGTACTGAATTTTTTTTTATGTAATTTTTCAAGTTAATTTTAATTTACTTAATTGTAATTCGGCTTAGCTTATTTCATTTTTTTTAATTAAATTTTTCATTTAATTCAGATTTTTTTAATTTTGCTTTGTTTTTTTGTTCCATTTTCATTTATTTGTTTTTATTTTATTTTTATCGTTCGTTCGTTTCGTTTTATATTATTTTGCTTGCTGTTGATATTTTTTGTTATCTTAATTTATTTCTTTTATTTTTAGTTTATTTTATTTATCTAATAAATAAAGCATGTTTGATATGTATTTATTAAATTTTTTGTTCTTCTTTTTTCATTTTTTAATGTTTTCAGCAATTTGGCGTTCATAATTACATTGCAATACAAACTTACTTCAGCCGCTCTCCGTTAGAGCGTAACATCCTGTATTATATCCGCTTTATGAATGCAAGCATTAATAGATAAAGATAAGTGATAAAATATTTATAAATGAATTGAATGCGTAAAAGCTTTAATTAATATTTTGCTTAATATCATTACGTACGTGTATAGCTAAGTTATAGATATGTTAGTAGGTACGTATAGCAATATGTAAATATTGATTTGAAATAGCATAAATAACTTTCAAAAGTACTACAATAATTAGCATATACATTTGATTAATTGTATGATAATACAAAAACTTAATGAATAAATTAGCTTTATTATGAAAATATATCAATTTATTTTTGATAATTCTTTGTAATTCAGCATGTTTATTACTAGAGCATAAATACGGCAATTATCAGAAAACTAATTGAGAAATGATTTGAGGATTCAAAAGCTCGAATCACTTCTTTCATTGGAAGTAAATTAAAATGGAAATGTGCTACAAGAGTTTGCGAGATTTAAAAATATTTCCACAAACGAATAATATAATCCTCTGATGGCTTGATTGTAGAGCAAGTGAAATATTTCCGGAGCTACCCCATAAGCTTGTAAACCCATGTAAACTCTGATATACATGGGTAACTACCGTACATATCTATGTATGTATACATAAATCATTTTTTTATTATGAGAAAGTTTAGCTCCTTCAATATATATTTATATACATATACCATACTAATTCCAATCTTGCAGACGAAGATGCATTATGACTCTTGTATCAGTTTTAATTAAAAAGTAGAAAATTCATGTTAACATGCGAGCAATCATCATACAACAACAACAGTTGAAAACAAAATGAAAACACCAATAATGGATAATAGTTACAATAACAAGTACATACGAATACACGCAACTTACTTGCAACATAAATATGTATATATGTACTCTGTAGGAATCTACATTAACATTTTTTGCATACAATTTTCAATTTTTAATTTTATATGTTACTGATTTTTCAATTTCAAATATTTTCATTTTTCTGAATCATTATAGATTTCGCTTTCAAATTTATACCAAAAATTTTTTATTAAAAAATAGAATATATATATATATATATATATTCGCCTACATAACATTTGGCTGAAAACTTTAAGTTAGCTGAACTATTGTCATAAAGTAAAAAAATTAGATATTTTTTTATTTATAATCTAAGTATTCCAAAATATAAAAAAATTATATAACAAATAAATTAATGAAAGGAAATTAAGTAAAATAAGATCAAAAATAAAATAAAGTATTATCTAAAAGATTAAATAAAAAAAAAAAATTATGAATTGGCGAAAATAAACTAAATTAAAGTATTTAATAAAAAAATAATTTGAAAATAAAAAGAAATAAATTAAAATAAAAATTAAAAATAAAAAAGAATAAAGGAAAAAATAAGATAAAAATATACCAAAAACAAATAAAAAATTAAATTAAAATAATAAAATTTAAAATAAAAAAAGTGAAATGGAGTAAAATAAATAATAAAATTGTTGAAGTAGAAATGCACGTCAGAATAAAAAAACGATTAAAAATTAATTAAATTAAATTTAATTTTAAATATCAACGAAATGAAATAAAATTAAACACAAAATAAGAAAAACAGCAAATAAACAAAAAATAGAATAATAGAAATGAAATTAAATGGAAAATGGACAAAATACAAATAAAGTTAAAAAATAAATATATTAAGAAAATCAATATATTTAGACCACAAAAAAAAATGCAAAAAATTTGACTTTTTGTCTAAAGCTTTAATTGTTTTTTGGAAATTCAGTAGAGTCATAAAATTCCACAAT